AAGCCTGAAGTACATCTTCACTCAGAAGGATCTAAACATGCGATAACGAAGATGGCTAGAACTTATAAAGGATTATGACCTAGATATTCAGTACCACGAGGGGAAGGCTAACGTCGTGGCATACGCCCTAAGCCGAAAGTTTAACCACTCCCTCAACACCACCTGGGTCCTGTCAGACGAGCTATGCAAGGACTTCCAAAGGTTGGATCTGGAGGTAGTAGAGCAAGGACAAACAAATTCTGAAATCCACATATTCAATATCAGAATTATACCCACACTACTCGAGGAAATCAAAGCTGGGCAGCAACAAGACCCAGAGTTAGATAAAATACGGCTCGACCTGACTCAGGGAAAGGACGGACCATTCGAAATATGTGAAGATGGTAGCCTCCACTATTAAGGGAGATGGTGCGTACCCACGACACACCCCCACCTAAAACAACAAATCTTGGAAGAAGGGCACAACTCACCATACTCGGTGCACCCCGGAGGCGACAAATTATACCAAGACGTGAAAAAGATGTTTTGGTGGCCCAACATGAAAAAGGAAATCGCAGACTTCGTGAGCAAATGTTTGAACTGCCAAAGGGTAAAAGCTAAACGATGCAAGCCCAAGGGACTCGTACAACCCCTCGAGATACTTCAAGGAAAATGGGACTCCATATCCATGGATTTCGTTGGAGGATTACCCACAACACCAACAGGTAAGTATAAAATCTGGGTGATAGTGGACCGGCTAACCAAGACAGCACGGTTCATTGCCATGAAAGAGACATGGACAATGACGCAACTAGCTATGGCCTACCTAAACCGAGTAGTGAAGTACCACGGAGTCCCCCGAAACATTGTGTCCGATAGATATCCCAGGTTCCTCTCACAATTCTGGAAGTCTCTACAAATGGCCATGGGGACACGGCTGAACCTGAGCACTGCCTTCCACCCCACCACCAACGGCCAAACCGAGAGAACCATTCAAACTCTCGAAGACATGCTAAGAGCCTGCATGTTAGACTTCCAGGGGACATGGGAAGAACACCTAGACCTCATCGAATTCTCTTACAACAACAGCTATCACGCAAGCATCCGCATGGCTCCCTACGAAGCACTGTACGGTCAAAAATGCAGAACACCCTTATGTTGGGAAGACATGGTCAGCCCAGTGGCACTGGGACCCCAATACCTACAAGACACCATAACTAAAGTCAAGCACATACAAGAAAGAATGAAGGCCTCCCAAGATCGCCAAAAATCCTACGCCGACCTGGGGAGGAAGCAAGCCGAGTTCTCCACGGGGGAAAAGGTCTGGCTAAGAATCTCACCCACATGAGGAGTAATGAGGTTCGGGAGAAAAGGGAAACTCAGCCCCCGTTTCATCGGTCCCTACGAAATCATAGAAAAAGTCGGGAACCTGGCCTACCACCTCGCCCTACCCACCAAACTAGAGCGAGTACACAACGTATTCCACATATCCCAACTAAAGAAATATATACACGATCCAAGCCACGTGCTACAACCCGAGGCCGTGGACCTGGATGACGCACTAACTTACGAAGAGAAACCCGTAAGGATCCTGGGCACCAAGACAAGAACAACTCGCCAGCAAACCATAGAAATGGTAAAAATCCTCTGGACCAACCACGGGGCCGAAGAGGCAACATGGGAACTCAAAGACACCATGAAGGAACACTACCCCGAGCTCTTCACACAAGGTAACCAAGGCGAAAGCATAGGATAAGGGAAAAGGACAACTCAGCAAAACCAAAGCTTCGGGGACGAAGCTTCCCGTTAAGGGGGGGGGGGAGTGTAACATCCCGTGTTACGGCCTCTAAACCAATTAATTATTTAATCAAATACCCAAAAGAAAGAATTAAATTCCATTAAATAATTAGGAAGGGTCCACCATAGTCCATGGACCCTTATCCCTGAAGCCAACCCCTTTGTCCTATAAGGAATAGAATCAGCAAACACATGCCATTTAGACCCTAATTGGAACTCTTAGATATATAAATAGGGACATAGGAGGCACCTAGAACTCACACCACAATAACTTTCACCACACAAGAATTCCCAAGAATCCCCATAGGAGAAATCAAGAAAGAAGAGATCTTAAAGAATGACCCTTCAAAGCCAAGGAATTTAATTAAGGATAAGAGGTAACCCATGTCTTAACAAAACCTATTTTCTTTGCTATAATCTTCTTCTTTGGCTCCTTCTATATGCTTGTGTCTTGATGATATGATCTTGATAATTGATTAGATGATTTTAAGTGTGATCTTGATGATGATAAGAGGATCTTGATGATTGGGTGATATTCTTGATAAATCTTGATGTTTCTTGATATTAAAGATGAGCTATGATCTTGATGATTTAAATATGATTAGAGCCCTAGGTTGAATCGTGAATTTCGTATTGGGATATTCTTGGTATGTTTGGGTGGGAATTCACATGTTCGGGTGTAAATTATGTTTAGAAGTCATAATAAGTTGTGTTCTATGTGATTCTTGCTTTTGATCCGTTAATTGTCTACGTGGTGTCGTCATTTGCGTTTAAAAGTGTCTAGGCATGGTTTCAAGTTCCACGGAGGATCCCGGGACTTATATTTTGGAAAAGGAGTCAGTGGGGGGTTGGTGGGGGTAGGGGGACCCATCACCTACCCGTTGCCCAAGGTAATGCCACCGGCAGCGGGCAGCCGGCGGGAAGACGACTGCACGCCCGGCACCCGCTGCCCAGAGGTTCTTCGCCGGCGGGTGGCCGGCCACCCACTGGATTCTTCCCACTTTGGGACTTTGGCTACCCCGTTTGATGTTTCCCAACCCCCGTGGTGTCCAAACGGACTCCGTATGTTGTGCGTAAGTCTAGTTTGATGTTCGGGTACCGTTCGTAGGATAAAAGAGTCTCGTGTATTGCATGCTAGTTGAATCGGTAACCCGTTGGCCTAGGAGGATGATGTATGAACCCCTTACGACTATTCTTAGTATGTGGATAATCACGCATAAGTTTTATTTATACGTTTTGCCCCCCTCCCTATGTGTTAATGTGGGTTGCATGTGCTTGCTACGTGATATATGTGCATGACTCTTGGCTGCGGTCAAACTGGTTACTCATGAGCTGCGGTTCATTATCCTTGCTGCGGTCAGTGACTTACTTCTAGGGCTGCGGTCCACCTCATGGGCCTCGTGTGTTGTGGTCTACCGACTGGACGCGTCAGGCGGTGTGTAGGGCCACTAGCCCGAGGAAGGCCATAGTCCACCGAATGAGTTGTCAGGCGGTGTGTAGGGCTATGGTCGGCTGTGATCCACCGGGTGTATGTGCCAACTGTAACACCCCCTAAAAACAAGCTATTTAAAAGCCTTAAACATGTAGATAACTGAGCTAAACAACAAACACAGCAGAAGACTGAAGGATAACTAGATAAACATAATCCGAAACATGGGGTGTTATGCCACGTTCACCAAAAGGATGAACGCTACGACAATATCTGCAATGTTTACATCTAAACCCATAGTCTCAAAGTACTACATCTAAACTGGCACACAGGCCACAAAACAAAGAGGGAGAAGCAATACTTGCAAGCACTAGACCGCGCACTTGTCTAGACATCACCTGAAAGAACACAATAAAACATGGGACGACGCCCGGTCAGCGAATAATGCTGGTAACCCACAAATACATGTGAAATAACATACATAGATAAGATATAAGTTGTAAAGCCATTTTCGAAACGGAATACATAAGTATATAAGTACAAAACCAAGAGCAATAGTCAACACAAGACTCAACAGTCTCAACAAGGATACGGGAACACATCCCAAACCACAAAGGATAACCACAACACAAAGGATAAAGACAAGACCGATGGCAACACATGCCCTTGTGACTACACACGTCACAAGAAGAGAACTCACAACAACGGCTACACAAGCCCTCGTGACATCACCCATCACGAGTTGATATGCCTTCCTTATGCCCGGTTCCAACATTATGGCTACCCCCAACCTTGTATCTTCTTCCAACAATTACCTCCAGGACCCCTGTACAACCAAGTCCAACCTTTTCCCTCCTGGGACCGTCGTCCCCCACCAAGACCACCAATTTCATAGTACACGAGGGTACCGTACACACACACGGCAACACATGCCAAGAATCACGTGAACCTTACACAAAGGTCACAACTCCATAATCATGTCACGGCCACCACGAGGACCACTGCAATACCTTGGTGACTAGTGTCCCATACCACTAATCGTGCAATCCAGGTAAAGCCACGCACACATCACACCACAACAGGAATCAATCAACAGATCACAACGAAGATATGAAACCATACTCAATCAAGGAATGGGTTACAGCCCAACACCAACAACGATGAATAACACAAGTTATCATAAACCAATAGGAAGGTACAAACAACACACACGCTAGCATTTAAACACCGAACTAGCATGCTCATCAAACTGATAAACCAAAGGTAGCTCCGAAGAACACACAAGAAGACCCTCAAATAGTTCCACATAAGAACATCGGGAAGTCCAAAGACCAAATACCGAGTCAAAAGAATCACGGGGAACAAATCCCCGCCATCACCACAATACGTACCCGCGGGTAGCCCTCTACCCGCGGTTCCGCCCGCGGGTACAGGCTGCCCAACCTGTTTACCCCGCGGGTGGGCGGCGGGTTGGATCCCTGCCCGCCCTTCCGCCCGCGGGTACACTCCTGTACCACAATAAATCCCTTCGCGGATTTTCATCTCCGAACTCAAATTCAAGTCCAAAACATGCCAAATCTCACCAAATACAACAAAATGACTTGAATCAAAGGAAATTCCAAGCAATGGCACAAATGAACCCTAAACACAAGCTCTAGATATGCATTTTCACAAGATCATGCATAAACACTCACATTTCATAGCAAAACACATGTAGAATCCAAGAAATCACATATAGGTAAGCAAAATAGGTTTTTTAGAGCATGGGTTACCTCTTGTAGACTAAAGACTTCACTTTACACCTCAACAAGCTCCTCTCAAGGCTCACCTTCCAAACCCACTTCAGGAACATACCAAAAGATCATAAAGATCCTATCTTTAAGAAAAGACACCTTAGATAAAACCAAAAACACAAGATGAACTTAGATCTTACCGTCCTAAATGCCCAAATATATGAAAGGTTGAATCTTGGAAGCAACTCTTGAAGTTTTGGCAAAGCTTCAACTTGGCTTGGAAGAAAAGCTACTCACCTTTTCAGAGAGAAGGTGGAGCTAGATTTTTAGAAAAGTGTAAGGAGAGAATGAAGGTCGTCTACTAGGTTAGGTTACAATACCAACAACAAGTGAAAGGTCAAGAATACCATTACTAACATAAGGAAGTGTAAGGAACAAAGGAACTCCTTACAAAGCTCAGTGTACAACTTTGACTTTGGGGTTGACTAGTCAATTACTAGTCCCCAACTATTAATTTTCAGGAATTTAAGGAATTAAATTACAAATTGAAATAGGATTAATTACTCAATTAATCCCTTAATTGAATTTGGATTTCGGGGTGTCACACCAGCGGTGTGTAGGGTCGTAGTCCCCAAAGATCATAGTCCACCGAATGAGTCCCTCAGGCGGTGTGTAGGGCTATGATCAGCTACGACCCCCCGACTGAGCTCGGTGTGTAGGGTCGCAATCCCCAAAAGAGGATCACAGTCCACCGACTGAACGCGTCAGTGGTGTGTAGGGCTGTGATCCGCTGTTGAAACTATCGACGGTCTATACAATTAGCTGCGGTCAATTCCTTCATGCTGCGGTATGAGGTAGGATGCTGCAGGGCCGTGTTAGCGCTATATGCGCTAACCCTCATGTTTGGGGCATGCGATTGGTCCCGTGGCGCCACCAAAGTGTGCTTGTGTGACAAGGATATTGATTGAATGATGATGTGAATGATATGAAAGTGAACTGTGACCTTAGAGATGTGTATTTATGATGTTGCCTCTATATGATTGATTATCGTTGTTGAATGTACTTATCCCTATTTGTTGAGTCTAATCCTGGTTTTAAAGCTAGAGTCTCTTAAGTATATATCTTCCTGCTTCAAAATGGTTTTCCTATATCTATGTATATATATTTACCGAGGAAATTACACTTTTGGTCCTATGACTATAAGGGGCGTGTTAATTTCAGTACCTGACTTTAAAAACTAACAATTTAGTCCTGTAACTATGTAATTTCTAACATATTTGGTCCTTCCGGCCAAATCACCGGCGAAATTTGACCGAAAAAACCAAACCCATTTTAAATTAAATATAAGTGGGGGCAAAACGGTCATTTGAACTTCAAATTTCCGTTCCCAAATTGGAACGAGAACTGAGATGGAGATCAGTAACCGGTTGAGAGAAATCCATCGACACCGGAGAGCTATCGTGAATTCAGAAATCGTAATTTTCGAACGGAAATTGTGAATTTCTTTTTCACTATTTCGTTCGAATAGAAAAACCTTTTGGCAATTCAAGATGGATCGTGAATTCGAAAATCTTTTTGGGAACAGAAATCGTGAACGAAAAAGTGAACGAAGAACTATCAAGATGGTAATGCATTACAGTATTCTTGAATTCGGAATTCCTGCTACCTTTGAGCTTCAATAAGCTCTATTTTGTTTGATTAATGTTCGATTTGGTTTGGTTGAATGATTAGATCTACTTCATACATTTTCACATTTGTCCCGAGATCTCAATTTTGGTGCGTCAGTGGGGGAAACAATGAGAACAAGTACTGCAATTCCGGCCAACAAGGAAGGAAGAAGAAGAAAATGATTTGAAATGACCGTTTTGCCCCCACTTATATTTAATTTAAAATGGATTTAATTTTCCGGCCAAATTTCGTTGGTGGTTTGGCCGGGAGGACCAAATGTGTTAGAAATTGCATAGTTACAGGACTAAATTGTTAGTTTTTAAAGTCAAGTACTGAAATTAACACGCCCTCTATAGTCATAGGACCAAAAGTGTAATTTCCTCTATATTTACCTCTATTGTATTTTAACACGCTAGAGTGGGTTACCAGCATTATTCGCTGAACATATATATTTGGCTTTCAAGCACAAATGAGTAGACTCCAGAGCGCGCTAGAGAACCGAAACGTAGATAGATAGTTTTCCTTTCGGCCTGCGTGCCATGATGATGTATTGACATTGCTTGAGGATATTTAGTTAGTATAGCCTGTGTATCTGAGTTCTCAAGCTCAGATGTGGCATAGCACCCCAAACTCTGATGTTTAGTATGCTCTATTTCGGTATTAATAATAATATTTCCTTTAATATATAAGTTTTAAAAAGTTTCAAAAATCTGGGGGGTTACAATATCTATATAACGTATGCCTGCTTGTGCTAAAAAAACTTTGTGACCTTGTCTGTCAATGGACTCATCCCACTTGTAAAATTTCTGTAACATTAAAAATTCATCAAATATAAGCAAAGGAAAATATATGCATTAGAGCAACACCGCCTATAAGATGCATTGGGCAAGTTACTGATAGAAATCTAATAACATTCTAGCTTCAAAAATTAACCACAATATTTTCAAAATCATATCGCTAATTTACCATAAATTCCTCAAAGTATGACTCTTTGTACTCATTAGACACATTTTTCAAGTATATCAAATAGGGTAGATCATTTGCATGAATATTTTTTTCATTGTAGTTGAGCATGCGTGAGAAGGTATCAACCTGTACATATATAAGAGATGAATAAAATGAAAATAATATACACATAAATGTAAACATAATAACACATTTTTACCTCTCATCCTCTACATGAATAATAGACAAATCATATATAACCAATAGATGATCTTGCAACTGATGAGGATGTGGGTGGAACAGTAGAGTCTGATGGTGAGTCAGTTGGTGAACCAATAGATGCAGGTGACACAATAGGTGGAGATACCACAGTAGGAGGAGGCGCATGCCACAATAGGTGCCACAGGAGGAGGAGGATGTGGGTGGAACAGTAGAGTCTGATGGTGAGTCAGTTGGTGAACCAATAGATGCAGGTGCCACAATATGTGGAGATACCACAGTAGGAGGAGGTGCATGCCACAATAGGTGCCACAGGAGGAGGAAGTACAGACGAGGATGGGATAGAACTCGAAGGTGTAACCAATGCACCTCGTCCACGTCCTCTTATGCGTCCAACTCTACTACCACCTCGTGTCATATAAAATAAAAGATAATAAAATTAAATAACAAATAAATATAACATGTTCATTTTTATTAGTACCATTATCACTATATCCTATTACTGAATCTGTACTTGAATAATCTATTTCTTCCTCTAACTCATGTTCATCTTCTATGTCACCATGTTTGCCATCAATTTCTATCACCCCACCATTTGGATCATCTATTTGCACGAGATCATGATTGTCGGTAGTTTCCTCTTGAAATAGTGTAGGTATTAGTGATTCTTCAGTAGATATAGATGATTCAGGAACTTCTACTTTAGATCTTGCTTTAATTTTGCAAACAGCCCACCAGTCAAGCTTGTCGCGACGCAAACTTGGGTATGTACAATAATAAACTTGAGCGGCTTGCATTGCTATAACGAATGGTTCATAGCGATTGAATCTACACTTATTATTAACTTCAACAAGTTTATATTCGGAATGAACCTTCATGCCCACACTTGTTGGGTCAAACCACTCACACTTGAATAATACTATCCTCTTGATTGGTAAGCCAGGGTACTCAACTTGTACAACTTCTACCAATCGGCCATAGTAATTACTTTCATCTATACTATAGTTTATACCTTTTATATAAACTCCACTACTCATTGTTTATTTAGCTCCAGCATAACCAATGGTGCGAAATTTAAAGCCATTCACATAATACACTGAATAGGTATTGACATGTCTTAGTGGCCCTTTTGCAAGATCCTTTATAAATTTGTTTGAAATGTTGTTCGAAGGATCATGTGCGTTATAATACATAATATAAGTGTTAAAATGTTTTAAACAATTTGAAGCTCAATATACATAATATACAAGTCTTACATAGTCATTGAGCAAATTTGCAAATTCATTTTCCAATTTACCATCGATTGTAGTACTGGAAATGTTTGATTGACCCCTCTTTAACTCCTCCATATAAACCCTTTAAAAGAATAAATGGGTTAACATTTATCACATTGGATAAAAAAAATTGAACAGAAGTGAATTCTTACTAAATAAACGGCTCCACTTCTGAATAATTTAATAACACATAGGTTCGCGCCGCTTTATACTCCTCATCTGTCATTTTTGTAAGGAATAGAAAATTGTTAATCATTTATAATGTGATTGTATGCAGATTCCTAATCTGTGGGCAAACAAATTATAGTAAAACTGAAAATTAAAATATCAGTGAACTTTATTATTATTATTATTAAGTTAGCATTCTACAAAATTTATATTTTAATTTTTTTCTCATATTATACTCATTGCAAGTTCAAATCTTATCATTACTATTAAATATAAATTTAAAAAAATCACATTAAATGTCATCCGAGGTATGGTCTAGATCATACATTAGTTCATAAATTGCATTAAAGATATTTATTCATTAAAATTGCAATACATTGTGTATTTATATCTCGAGAGAAAAAAAAAAAAAGGAAAAAAATCATTAGCAGATTTTGGTATTAAATGAGATTAGAAGAAGCATACCTCCAGAACATACACCTCTAATTCCACAGACACACAAATTTCCCCCTTCACTTTGGAACTAAGAACCATTATTTTACCTACCAGTTACAACTAAAGCCTCAAGCATTGACTTAATTATTGTCATAAATAACAATTTACTTTGCACGACTACAGTAACTATTCTGACAAACCAATTTATTTTCAGAATTTGTTTATGATATCTTCTAGTGCTTCTAACTTCAGTTTTATTTCTTGCCTTTATTTCTTCATATTTGAATCTACCTTCTGTAGTAATTTGGGTTTGCTATATGTTAATTGTGATTTATCCTTTACAAAATCAATGTTTTTGACCAAATTGAAGAAAATGGTAATAATGTGAGCCATACTTTTTTTTTTTTTTTGGACCAGTGATGATAAGAAGACTGATTTATAAGCTCCGTAATTTATTTCGTTTTAAATTTACGTTTCATTTATTAAAAGAATTTAGTACTTCAACAATAGTTTAATATAACCTCTGTGTGCGAGTGCGAGATTAGAAACTAAAGACTAAAATATAGAAATTATTAGAAATTATTAAAATTCATAACATTCATACAACTTTTCTGTGTGCGAGTGCGAGATTAAAACACATGGGAAGCCATAAACAAATACATACCAGTAGGCGACAGGTGAAGCGGCGGCCGACGGAGCATGAAGCGGTGGTCGCGGAGCAGGCAGTGGCGGTCGGAGAAGTGGTAGCGACTGTGACACCCGGTAATTTTAAGCAAGAATATAATTTTGAGAAAATATTATTTAGTTCACCCTTAATATATTTTCATATGATGTCAAAAGAATTTTTGAAAAATTATTCTTATAAAAATTAAATTGTTATATTTATCTATTATGTCTAAAAGAAAGCTTTATATTCTTTTTCGTATATATATATATACATAATTTGCTAAGAAGTAAACCAAGAGATGAAGTGGTGTGTTGGTTTGAGACTTGTATGTTAATCTTGAGATGTTGGGTTTGATTCTTGCCAGCTGCGAAATGGTTAACTTGTTTTTGATTTTAGCAGAGAACAAATTGAATTGATTAGCAGTTACTGGACTGATTTGAAGACAGATTAGGGGTGATTATCAATTGTTATTATACTTAAGAAGCAGACTAGGTAATATAATTATTCATTATTTATTATTATCATAAGAAATACAGGTTTTATAAGAAGGGGGTAGGGAGATGATTCAGACGAAGGGAAAAGAAAGAAAGAAAGAAAGAAAGAAAGAAAGAGAGAAAAGAAAGAAAATAGAGAGAGGAATGGGAAGAAAAGAAAGACGAACAAAATAGAGGAAGAAAGATAGGAATTGGAGTTGGGACAGTTTATGGAGTTGATAGTGTCATCATTTTGGTAAGATTTCATGTTCACTAAAATTTTATATTTACCCCTAAATATATATATGTTTTTAGAATGTGTTAATGTGGTTATGATATGATGTTATATAAATCAAAGTTATATGATTTCACAAATTATGTGAAATTATGTGTGATATTATGTGATTATAGTATTATGGTGACACAAGTACATTTATTGATAAATGGTAACTTTGTGAGCGGTGATTCTCGAAGTATCGAGAATGGGTTTCGATGTGTCAAACTCGTGTGTTGGTGTAAATGCTTTGCTTGGAATATTTGAAATTTATATATTAAAATAATGATCAAATGTGATCAATTTGCGAAAAAGTATCATTTTGGACAAGCTACACCATTTATATATGTGGTGAAATCTTATTATTATTCCACATTCATATTATTACAAAATAATGTTTGGAAAAGAAATATTTTTACATGAAAGTATATATACATACATATTTTAATCTTGGAGGATGGTGATATTTGGTGCTGGTGTGAGCCGGAAAACTCACAACCAACTGATTGGAAATTTGGTCATTTTACCGGAGTGAGACGGGAGAACTCACAAAAATATTTTTGCTATACCGGAGTGAGCCGGAAGAACTCACAAGTTTGAAATTTGTCTCAGATATGGAAACCGGAGTGAGCCGGTGGAACTCACATTGGAATTCTAAATTATTTTCATGATTGGCTTATGATGCCTTTTGGTGGTTATGTCGAGAGCTTAAAGACTCTTCACTTGGTATCTACTCCTCCTTGATAAATATGATGTATTTTGGAAAAATGACGTGGAAGGTTTTGGAAAAAGAATGATTATTTATTAAGTAATACTTTGACAAACTCTACTATGTTAATTATACAAAAGTATACATATATTTATATATATAAATGGTTTGCAAAAGTATAAGAATATATAAGTGTTTTATTTGAAAATTATATAAAATCCAAGCCTATTATTTTACGGGGTGAAATGGAACTTACTTAGCTTACGCTAATTTTTGTCTATTCTCTATCTTTTGTGTCAAGTGATTATTACAGGTGAACATGAAAAAGGATTCAAGTTGAGAACGAGTTTAGTCTATTTAAGAATACACAGCATGGAATATTTGATATTCGTGAGAAAAATATTGTTGTATAGAAATTTCAGTTTTATGTATTAAGTTGAATTTGGATAATTTATTTGATGTTGTAAATTAGCCTTAGCACTTAGGTTGTTGGTTGCCTAAGTGTGGCGGTAACACCCTTTATTTTGGTTAGTTAATGCTTCTGCAAGAGTATTATTGAACTTTTAATTGAGAAAAAGTATTGAAATTAAGGAAAATTTTGTTATAAAATTTGGGGTGTTACAGCGACAGTCGAAGGAGAGGCAGCGCCGTCGGCGGTGGCGTTAGGGGAGAGAAGCGGAGGTCTGCGGAGAAGAATCGTGTACTTAGGGTTAGAGTGTTTACAAAAACTAATGTGTTAGGAAACTTTTTAATGTAATATGTTTTGGCACATTTAGTGTCGAATTTTAGGAATCCGTCGCAATATTTTTTATACAAAAAATTCGGCATCTGTATTCATGTAATCCCGCTTGTAATATTGTGACGAATTTAAAAATTTGTCACTACATACCCACGAATCCTCAAATGTAAACACAAATAAAGCCCGCATTCTAAATCTAGCGACGGATATGCGAATTCGTCGCTATCTAGCGACGGATCCTCAAATCCGTTGCTATAGTGTAAACACCAATAAATGCTGCGTTCTAAGTCTAGCAACGGATAGCGACTGAAAATTTGTAAAGCGCAGCACCGAAACTGAAGTTGTAACACAAACAATTTGTAACGCAGTTCGGGCAAACAACCCTAATCTGCGAGGCATTTCTCAATTTGAGAACTTGCCTAAATCCACTAAAAGCTCAATATTTAAAGTACACTGTTTGGAACCTGAGATTACACAATAGAATGATCTTTCCTACCAAACTATTGAAACCTAAACACATGTACTACTTTCTAGGGGAATTTAGTATCTTATTCTCAAAGACTCTCGTACCTCACAAGATTAATGTTGAATGCTTGAGATCTACAATAAAGGACATCCCCTATTTATAGTAGTTATTCCTAACAGATTCGTGAATAACAAACTATTCCTAATCAAAATAAAACTATAAAATCTTCAACAACAAATCCCCTTAGAACTTGTATTCTTCAATAACTATTCCTCTTAGTACTGATATTCCTTTATAGAACTGGAATTCTTTTTGCAAATAACTTTGACAAAATACTTTGAGTCAACATTCTCCCCCTTTGTCAATTTTTTTGGCAAACACCTTGGTCTCTGTCTTTCTCCCTCTTAGTTGATGCCACAGTGGTGTTTGATTGATGGTAGATTAATGACAGGTTAGGTCACCATCCCATGTGTAGCTTTTATCAGATGATCTTTTCCCCATCATAACACATTCATGTTTTTGGTTGTAGACTATACAATTCTCTTTGGAAAATTCTACTTTGAGTTCATCCTCACACAGTTGACTTATACTGATAAGGTTTGCTTTGAATCCTTGTACCAAAAAGACTCTTGGTAATCTGGGCAGGGACATTCAAGGTACCACTTGCGATAATCTGTCCTTTTCCTCCATCTCCAAAAGTGACATGCCCTTCATTTTTGTACTGGATATTCTCAAGATAATGTGGATTTCCTGTCATATGTCTTGAACATCCGCTGTCAATACCAAACACTTTGTTCTTGGCTTGTTTCTGAGGTATACGCAACAGCTTGTGTTTGTTCCTTTCTTACCCATACTTTCTTGCTGTTATTTTTGCTTTGTACTACCCAATCTCTGTTGTTTTTTCTGTAATAGAGATCATTTTGTCTTTTGAAGCAGTACGCCTTTATGTGTCCCAATTTGTGGCAGTAATAACATCTGATTCTCCTTCGGTGTTGAAAGTGATGTTGTGACACCTCAGGATTTTCAGAAGAGTGGCTTTCACTGGACGCTGGATTTGGAGATCTAGGCCTTCCATCTAGTGCCTTGATTTCTTGTAACAGTTTGGCCTCTCTATTTTTAGATTCTAATAATTCATTTTGAGTTTCTTTGAGACGCTTTTCTTCTCTCTCTTTTTCACCTTTTAGAAACTGATTTTCTTGCATGAGCTCTAGATTCACTTTGATGATTTGTTCCCATTTAGCATACAATTGGGTATATGACTCTAGCAGTTCTTGCATATCATTTTCGTTTCCGTTGTCATTCTCATGATTTGCGGTGAATGCTACGAAATTAGTGTTGGTGTCTTCTTCACTATCTGAGTCATCGCTTAGTGTTTCCACATATGTTTTGTTCTTCCTTTTAAAATATGTTGGACATTCTGACTGGATGTGTCCAAACCCTTTGCACTCGTAGCACTGAATTCCTTCAGGTTTTAGACTCTCCATTCCTTTTGAAATAGATTGATTTTGTCCAGTTGGGAAGTTCCCTTGATTGATTGAAGCACTTTTGCTTCTAAATTTGTTGAATTTATTGAGAACTCTGTTGAAATTCTTTGTTAGGAGAGCAATTGATTGTTCCATGGTTTCAGTATCAATTTCTAGACTCTCTTTCTGCTTTGATTGGAGTGCAATTCCTTTGTCATTATTTTTCTCTTTTTGCAGTATCTCAAGTTCATATGTTTGAAGATTTCCCATTAGATCACTGAGTTTGTAGGTGTTTAGATCTTTGTTTTCTTGGATGGCTGTAACCTTTATCATAAATCTCTCAGGTAGGGAACGTAGGACCTTTTTGACGAGCCTAGGTTCAGGAATAGGTTCGCCTAGGTTAAACGCATCTCCAGCAATCCCTAAAACTCTTGCACTAAACTGTGAG